GATTTATTTTCAGAATGTAACAGCCTATAAATTTCACAATATGTAATATTAGCAATACACAATAATATTTCATCAATACAGTTTGTGGAGTCATTTATTCTGGGTGATCCCATAGGCAACAGTATTCTCTAGGCAACTAGCAACATGACAGCCACTGATAGACAGCATTTCACTCCCACTCATCCACTATTGGAAATTCAGATTGAGCCCCTAAATCGAGCCTGTTTACATTCAAATCTGAACCTTTCCAAAGTCCTGACAGCCTGTGTTTTTCTCCCCGCTCTTGCCCTGTTTGCTTTGTGTATGTGAAGGAAAGAGGAAAGCGACAGTGATTATTGCCATAATTTTCCCCATACGCTCTCTGGTGATGGACACTAATAGGACTCCATTGTTGTTAGCATTTAGCCTTGCTGCTGATTAGCTTGTTTTTCATGGCAGCATCGCGTGGTGGGTGTGTGCATCCCAAACCGGTGCGTCTCCTCCGGGGTGACATTTCAGAGGTTCCCCCAGGGCATTCAGAGGGAGCCATCTAACAATGTAATTGCTCTGAGCTTTCCCCTTTGCAAAATTAACCTCCAATCGCACATGTATTGTCCAGCCCACATATACAGGATTATTTCAACTCGAGCTGTCTCAAGTTAATCGATTAATCTCAACTAATCGCTTGTTGAAATTGTAACTCAGATAATTCTATCATGACAGCAGAAGGGAATGCAAATGTGTTTACAAGTATTGTTTATTTCAAACCCAATGTTACAAGTCATCTTCATGATATGTTCTCCAGGGGCATCACATGAGCTTTGTTTTGGTCAAAGTTACAAAAAATCCAAAAAAACGTATTCACTGACAAAGACAGCAGATTGATTGAAATTAATCATTCTTAAAAGTATGTACATTATCCTTTTATGTGAACCTATGGCATAAGCTTACCCAATGTTTGGAATGGAAAAATTCTTGCATGTTTAAAGCTTGGGTACCAATCTTTCCATCTTCCGTCTTCCTTACTCTTATAACAGTTTGGTTATATCAAAAGTTTTCACTGGAATAAACTGTTTGCCTCTCATCATTAGATCTGTTGTTTTTCTGAGTGAAAAAGAGAGAACCATCCACAATAATGTTGACATGAACATGTTCCTATTATTAAGTTGCTTCAGGTTAACAAGGATCCATACAGTGAACAATATGTAAAATAAGGAATATAGTTTCATATACATTACCAAATAATGTATCCTTTTAAAGAGAAGAATTACTTGTTCATTTGGTCCGTGTTTACAACATTGTTCCAAATATTGTATCACAGACTTGGAGTTAATTTTAGATTCATCCACAATAATATGTGGAAGTTCTGTAATCGTATGATGTCATTGTACAACTACGTATGTCATCACTGTCTGAGCAGTTTTCTGCCTTTTAAAAGTATTGTCCATATACTAATTTAATACCTCAAGTTAAATTAAGTTTTTAACAATCGCATGCCTGTTTTTGCAGCCAGTAATTTGGAAATTCAACTTCTCACTCTGCTTGGAGAAGAAAGCATTATTTTACCATTCATACATGTTACATCCAATATTTTTTCAAATTTTAAAACATGAAAATCCTCTCAGTCAAAAGTCAATCGTCTCATCATTTAGTTCATTGACCCAGAATAATGCATGGTTTTCCTTTACAATTGTTGGACCATGCAAAACCCAAAGCCACACAACACTTGACCCTTCCAAAACTTTCTCTTCACAAATGAACGCGGTCTTCTCGTCTCCCTTTAAATAGCACTATATCTGTGTTATGTGCCGCTTGACTAATGTTTGAGTGTCTCTTTTGCCCGTAACTGAAATATGTCTCGCAATTCTGAATAAACATCAATCCCAGGCAAGCGGCGCCTGTAGATGAGATGATTGGCGAAAAGTCGTAAAGCGCAGACAGCTGCTGGGGCCGTGTCAGAGCGGACAGGATGGACAGTGAGCCCATGATGATGTACGCCGCGTCTGGCATTTTGGCCCGCTGACGGAGGGGCGCATCCGTCAGATTTATTTGACTTTTCCTTCCGCCACTCGGCAGCTCGATCGCGAGCTCGCTGACAGGCTCCTCAAGTCATCCTAGCGGTGTCTACCTTTGTAAGAGGCTGCTTTAAGGCGAGAGTTAGGAGGTTAGGCCCGTTTTTCCGCTTCTCTGTGCGTAATTTTTGGCGTGTGTTGGAGTGCTGCCAATTTAGCGGCGCTGTCCGTAAGCGAAGAGGAAATGAGGAGTCAGAGGCAGGTGCAAAAGCAAAGGTTCTATTGATGTATTGGTTTAGGGTCGCTTTGAAACTCATTCCAGAGCAGTATTATTTATTCTATTTTACCCTAATACAGAATGGAACTGCTTCTCTAATTTATGACATACTGCTGAATGTAGAAAAGACCTATTCAAAATTAAAGTCTAAACTAGAATATGACTCAAAAAAAAAACATTGACTTCTGTTGTACAACTTACAATATGATAAGAAAAACTTTATTCATCTGACAATGGAGAAATGTACTTGTCACTTTTGGCATAGATGGAATCACTCAGATTGTGCAAAACTATGGCACAATGTGGAACTATGGCAGACTCATTACACTGAGAGATCAAGCCTTTATTTGTTCTAATGTTGATAATTGGTTCCCAGCAAAAAATCTGTAAAATGTTGAATGTTTTGAAGAGAGTTATAATAATCATCAGGCTTGTAATATATGACTTCGCTTTTAAGTATATTGACTGAAAGAAAATAACTATTTTATGATTTTCCCAAGTTTCACCTGTAATTTTAGAGCACTTGTTTTATTGGTTTAAGAAATTGGTGAAAAAAGTAAAAGGGGCTTGTATCACCACAAATATAATGTGTACTTGTGTTTACCGGTATTTCATTTTCCAGCCAGAACCACATCTGTTTGTGATCATTATTTTCAAATACATGAGTCTGGATCTCTCCCCCCCGCTGCCTATTTCAAAAGTTGCGTTTTGTCTCATTTGATTGGGCAGCTAATATTATTGTTTTGTAAAGGACTACAGGTAGAAACTGTACAAAGTAGTAAATGAAACTTCGAACTAGAATCGCCATCATTACGCGCATAACGCTCGCGTGTCTTTCGGCGTCAAAAAATCCCTTGACGCCGAAGTTGAGAAAGTTGAGCTTTTGGAGCTTGACGCCGGGCTTCAACCAATCAGGAGACGAGAACCAGCAGCAGCAGCTGCGGGTCATTATTGTTATTAGCAATATTATTTGTATGAGTAATAACGTTCTTAATATGTGAGTAACAAAATCAGCGAACACATGCTGTGAAGTAAAAGTAATTTATTTAATATAAGAACAAGCTGACGATGAGTCTGGCTCAGACACAGCAGACTGCTGGACAGCGTACTGATAGACAGGCGCTCCTCCGCAGGAATTGAGTGCCTGTAGTTTCCAGGCGGGCAATGCGAGTTCCAGGCATGGCGATGTGAGACGGGCGATGCAAGCTCCGATGCAGGTGAGCAAGTACTCAAACTGTGCAAGTGTCTTGCAGAAGTACCGCTGAAAGCGAAACTCGTCCGTACGCCGCTCCTGGAGTAAATGGTGAAACTCAGAAAACACTGCAGCCTCTCAAGTCTGTGGTGAACCCAGAACACGTTTTGTAGAAACCCTACGACAAAGTTCTTTGGCTTTTTATAACAAATAAAGGCTCACTGCTCTCTGGAAAATCCACCGTTGTCTTGACTACCGGCAACAGAGAAGCTCCTCCCACCGGCGTCAGGCGCGTCACTCGCGTCACTCGCGTCAAGCTTTAAGTACCAAAATGGCACAAAAATAACCCGGCATCAGTTGACGCGCGCCAAAAGCGTTTTGAAGCTTTTGGTCTGAATTTGCCATCAGATTCCTGAAAGCCAATCTGCCAGATTCCAGACCCTTCTGCTTAAGAACATGGATGTATGTAATTATGGACACAAATATTTAATTCCTGGTTACAGTATAATTCTAGATTCAAAATGTGAAAACCAATATTACTGTAGGGCAAATGAAACAGGAGCCTTCAGTGTTATCGTCTAGATTTAGGATTGTTGCATTATTATTATTATTATTTTTCATCACAGTTCATAAGTGCAACAGAAATTCTTCTGAAGTGTCTGGGCATGGCATGCATTTCTTTGCTTTTTCGACAGAGCTGTGTTGGGAACGCATATGTAATAAATCCTAATTGGCACAAACGTGTTGATGCAAACATGTGAAACATAAAAAAGGCACGAAATGTATATTGAAGCATTTTATACACATTGTTAAAAAAGTGTATGCCACTTATCTTCTATCTTTCTTTTTGAACAGTGTTCTTTAGAGGGTGTAATCTACTTGAATGAAACACTGACCTGACTGATACGGTATTGATGCTTCGAAACACTAGTGAGACAAGTGCAAGAAAAGCTTCAATGCTTCACAATGCTTCATAATCCCATGAGTACTGTAAAGAATACTGTTTTTTTTTTTAAAAGCAAGACGTATGTATGGAAGCCCGTTTCCGCCATGTAAAAAAAATAAAAGCATACAGAAAGTCAAAATTTTGAGTTTTAAACTCAAAATTACGACTTTAAAACTCAAAATTTTGACTTTTAAAGTCGAAATTTTGACTTTTAAAAGTCGTAATTTTGACTTTTTTTTTTTTTTTTTACATGGCGGAAACGGGCTTCCATACGTATGAATGCTTCACTCTAATTTGTAAAATCTTTCTTTGTAAGTACCATATGTTGAAACTGGATTTATCATGTATATTGAAACAGGAAACTCCTTAGTGCAAAGACAATTCATAGTTTGAAGACATGACCATGACCAATCATCATATCTTGGTATCACAGTGTACCAAACCAACTGCTCTCCCACTTTTCCTTTTATCTGGCACCCCTCTGATCCAACACCTCGCTGCACCCATCCCATCAAGCCTTACTGCGACAATTTGTGAATCAGCTTATGGTAATGGGCGGATCATAACAGAGCAGCGGACCCCTATTGAAACGAGATGGCCTACGACAGAGCTGACCTTTCCGTAAAACGCTGGTGTCGTAACAATGTCTGCACTGTAAGCATCTCCGCGCAGCCAGGTGATGATGGGAGAATATGAATGTGAAACAGGTCCAAGTCATGAGCTTTTTACATTCTTATTCTGCAAGCTATTCTGCAACATTGCTTGCATATATTCATTCTAATGGACAAAAACAAGAGACTCCATACCTTCTCAAAAAGTGTGCATGGATTTAATTAAGTTGCAGTATTCAATTAGAACAGATGATTACAGTTGTACCTTTTTTCCCAACTCTTCTCAACAGGATTGCTATGTTCTTACAGGAATAAAGGATTTTCCCTGTGATCTTTTCTTCTTAGTCCTCTCAACAGGAATTGGTCATGTGTCTAATTGTCAAACTTTTGTTTCCCAGTAAACGATAAGAAGACTGTTTTCATAAAGGCCTTGACAGTTGTGTGTTGTTTAGCAGCAATCGTTCTCCACTTGACAAGAGAAGTAATGGAGTGTACTTGGGCCTGACACAGGAGCAGAGGACACTTGACTGTATCATCAAAGAGCTGGAGCATGACACAGAGATGGGACCTCTGTTTGTGACTTCCAGCTTGTATTGGTGCATATTTCCTAGTGTTGTTGTGTAAATGCATGGAAACATATGTCTCGCTTTGTTACTGTGTCACCGTGGAACCTGCTCTCTCTCCTACCTGCTGCATGCATCTGCTCGTACACAAAGAAAGGTGAAGGGGTGTGGGCGATCAATCTTCATTTGGAAATTTCTGAAAGCGTTGTCTTGTCAGTATCCAGTGGCGTCTGGTACAACTCATTCTGCTCTGCTGGAGGGGGGAACCCTGGGGTAGCAGCTCCTCCTGTCGCCTCCCCTCCCTCCCCAGCCCCCCACGCAGCCTGCTGCCGTCAGCAGCCCAGCGGCAGAGCACAGAGACAGGCATGAGGCGGAGCGGCACAGGAAACCATCGGGATTAACCCTATGGCCACCCACGGCAGGTGCTGAGGCAGCCACGCGTCCAGCCTCATTAAGACGAGCCACAGAGGCCAGCGTGGCAACAAACACAGGGGAAGTGAGAAAACCACTGTGCTGCTACTGCATCTAAACACACACATCTGGGACCGGTCTGTCACACCAACTTGTGAACTCACTTCTTAACTGTCTCAGTCATTGGGATAAGAAGTCATTTGTCAGCATTTTGAAATATTATTCTTTTGTGTGGATGGAGGAGTTATTTTTCTAATTTTGAACAAAAGAAACTCATCTATAAGAGTCTTCAAACGTGCTCAACTGTCTCAAGCATCTCAAGTCAAGTTGTTTCTAAACAGCAACTGGTGTGTCATGCTTGATACTGTACTGTATTTATATGTTCCACCTGCATGTGAAAGCCTGATACTGTCAGATTTCAGAAGCTCAGCAGAATAGGGACTGGTTGGTACTGTGAAGGGACACTTCTCTTTCAAAACTATTTTGTATCCTTGACCTTTTTATCCTCACTCTTTGTTTGACGTGAATGAATAATTCCATGTGAAACCTCAGAGTGTCCATAGAGCGGGAAATAAAAGTGATGCATAATTATTATTATTTTATGAAAGCAAACCCTGGAAATTTCTCTTTGTATGCAGTGTACCGTGTTGAAGACATCTGAGTAATGGGTTCAGGGCACACTACACCAGTCAACAATTAAAGCCACTAATGAACAGAAAAATGTTTTACCATTAGATAAAGAGTTTTGACCAATCTTTTAATCTCTTATTGATTTAAAGTGATTAGCTAATGTCTGCTTGAACTTAAGTGAAGGGTGTATTGCTAATAGTTTCAACATTAGTCTTTTGATGTCAGTCTTGTTTAACTTGAGTTTGTTAATAGGGCTTCTAAAGTGCCGTCCATCATTAATCATGTAAAGAAGAAACCACTTTGATTTCCAACTATTACAGTGTGCTTGAAATTCTTTCAATTTGCTCATTTCCTGCTCATTTCTATGCCACTCATTTTATCAGTTGATTAAAGGGGGAATTAGGCTTTTCAAAAGTCCTTCTGAAATAGCTGTGGTCAAGATGAAGGTTGTACCGGTCTCCTGGCATTTCCAGAGGATATGTCCATCTGTGTGACCATACTGAGCTGCTCAATTATTCAGGACATTAAGCAGCACTTTCGGACACTTTCCCCAGTTGGTGTCTTTGATTGGGAAAACGGGGGCTGATTTGTGAACTATAGCCTTGGGCAGTTGGCCTAAGGCGTACTTTGAGGGGGGGGCAGTGCCCAGCTCACCTCTGCGCCCCGGGGAGCCAGGTCCAGCTCAGGCCACAGTCTAAGCTTGTGTGTGTGCTCCCTGTGCCTGTGTACTGTAGGTGGGTGTGGTGTGAGCCACTCATCTGCCCTAGCCTCCTGCCGCTGCCTGACCAATTTGTCGGTCGACCGGCCAGGAGCAGAATGCAAATCCTCACCAGAGGAGAGAAGCGAGGACGCGGATCCAGCTGTGTGACTGCAGTGTGTGTGCTGTAGAGGCCTAACAGGCGAAGTGTCATCAGCATCATGAGGCAGTGTGTAATGTATTATCTGCTCTTGTCCCTCCTTTGTGTCGTCGGGTGCCTCAGACATGACTCTCCTTCACTGCTCATCAACTTACTGCTCCTAATTTATAGATGGGCATAAAACTGTATTTTCCCTCTTCTCTCCTCCTTTCACCCTGCTCTGCATCACAGCTGCATAAAGCAGTAGGACACATGCATTTCCACACATTGTTAGTTAAAAGCTTTCAGCACAGGGCTGTGCTCCTGTTAAACTATATGGTCCTGTTGCAAATACATGAGGACGTTGACCCAGTGCTGGACACACTCTGTGAGAGACAACGGGACTGAAGCTCACGCTGCAGTCCCAAAGTTCACACAAGTTTTCAAGGACAGCTAGTACACAAGATGAAAGTGAAGGTTCTCATCTCATCTGCCGCACCTATCCAAATAGCACCTGCTCGTTCTGTGCTGTCAGCACATTTTATCTAAAAAATTAATACTACTTTTTTCCTGGTCAGATAGGAATACTTATTCGTTGCGCTTTGCCTGGAGTCCTTCGCATCTTCCGAATGTGAAAGATTTAAACCCATGGATAAAAGGCACTTTTCTAATCAACATTTTTTTCCTTAAGCACTTCTTTCTTTAAAACCACTGTTTTTCATTATTTATAAGTGTTCTGAAGGTGCTACGGAGCTGATATGGGGCCGTAGAGCTTGCAGAATTGATTGGATAAGCTTGGAAATTACTATGTTGAGCACGTTGTGCACTGAAATGTGCTTTAAAATACACCCAATGCGAATATTAATACCCAAGGCTCATGAGAGCCTATTTGAATGCAACACAGGGGATTTATGCTGAAGTTTCCTAGTGTCCAGTTGCTATGGCATATGTTACTGATCAAACCTCAAATCAACTTAATTTTTGAGCGTCATAAAATGCAGAGGATAATCATTATTTCATCATTAGCTCTTTAACATGCTCACAATCCCTGTTTTACTGAATAATTCTGAATGATGTTAATCAAACATCTGAAATCATATTTGAAATATTTAACCAAACCATATTAATGAAGATCAAAAGGTGGTCTGTTTTTAGCAGATGTTCTGGGAAGGCCTGGGTAATAGCTAGGTCCACAGGAGCAGATGAAACACTTTGTCTTCTGCTAAATATTTCATGCTTAGTACCTGTTGTATGCTGCCTAATGAGCTTTGGCTGGAAAAAGGTGATTTATCATGCAAAGTTTTCAAAGAAATGCAAATCCTTGCACACAAGAGCAGGAGTTTTGCTACATATTTTGCCTGTATAACATTAGCATCTGCACACCGCATTTTAGAGGCTGAATAGTTTAGCCCTGCAAAGTAAAGCAAACTCAGGCAAGAATGAGTGCCACGGGTCAAATGTGTTTTTAAATAAAGTTCTTTGCCTCTCTAGTCACAGACAGGAGTGAGCAGAGGTAACACATGTGGCAGTGACAGAGCACCCTGCCAGGCTTGTCAAAGGTCTTTGTGGAAGAAGATAGCTGAAAATAAAATTATGCCTTCAGGATTTTACATGTCTATTTCCATGGAATCATGAAGTTTGCATACAATCATAGTTTTATTCAGTGACGATTTTGAAACATTAACATGTTGAGTTGATTCTCTCAATTTTATAACTTGTTATTCTTGTTCTTATTACTCAAGAGTGAGATACTGTGTGTGTGCATTTATCTGTAGGCAGGTCTACCCACAAACTACAGGACAGATTGAGGTGAAGTATGTTGTGTAGATGGAATGTGATGATAAGAAGAACACTTTCAATTTCAGCACATTTTCACGTTGATTTAAATCTGGAGTACCTAACTTTTTTTGTCCCATCAATCATTTAGTGTCACACTGAGAACTGACTGGCTGGTACTCTCTTTTTGTCACTGAAAAATATCTAAGCAGTTTTGAGAGCTCAGAACTATACAGTAGTTACATGGACTTGTTACATTTTATCACTGTACGTCTGACAAAACACTTTTCAACAAAGCATACATTTGACCATGAATATATTGCATCTAATCTACAAGTGTAGATATTATTCATTTCAATTTTATGTATTCTTGTATTGCCCTAAATCCCAACATTAGTTATCTCAGAGGACTTGACAAAACCGTTGAAATCGTCAACACAGATCAGAGAATCACACTGTTTAAAACTCCAAAAATATAGAACACATGGTATTGGTCCGTGGAGCGACCAATGTACATGAAAGTGGATAAATGTCCATAAATGTTGTAGAATGTTAAAGTGTCCTGGATCCTCACCACGGTCCTTTTTGTTAGACACTAACTGTCCGACAGGCCTCCTGCATCGGCAAGAAAAAACTCTAGAACCCGGTGGAAAGTCAAAGTGTATGCTTTTTCTATTTTGTATTTGTGTTTATTCTGTGTTATTTCTTGTGCGAATGTTACAGTACATGTGTATGTGTTTTTATTTGTTTGTTGTTCTTAATAAGATTTCACAAAGCCATGTTTGTTTATGTTGCACATTTACAACGACAAGAGTTCAAAGTACCGGACATTCTAGAAGGGATAAAACATAATATGATATCAATACAACATATACAATCTCTTGCATAAACCCTTTCTCCTGCAATTTGTGAAATGTAAATGATTCCCATATTTCATTTTGTGTTAATGTCATAGTGTTTCTGACCAACTTTTCTCACAAAGTACCACAAAGGCGTTTTTTTTTTTCACAGCAGTAGCAGCAGCAATAGGAGCCTGAAACCCAGATACAAAACAGTTCTTCCTGGGGTTACACAGCCAGGACCAGGGGACAGTCCACATGCACACTCACACGCACACACACCCAAAATCATCTACAGTACGCTGGGTGATTACAAAGACTGGTAACCCTACAAAATGAGGAACGGCACACCCCAAACCGCGCCATAAGGCTGGACGGTTTGTGATTTGCAAGTTGATAAGACAAGAAGATTAATAATGCTGCGTTATAATGGCAGGGCTGAGGCGCGGCTGGGGAGATGGTAATGATGGGATATTGCTGTAGGAGCAGTTCAGCGAGCCACGATGGAGAGAGAAGGACTGACAGAGTCCGCAAAAGCACTCATCCCAATTGGCCCTCCGGATATGAGAGGTTGAAAAATGAGAATGCAGTTATCATTTTAATTAGATATAAATTTCTTTTTTTTTCATATTGTGTGTGTGTGCGCGCGTGTATGCATGTGCGTGTATGCGTGTGGGTGTCGGTGTGGGTGTATGTGTGTGAAAATTTGCGGAATAAGGGCTTCAAAGAACATGTTTGCCAGTACGCCACAGTGCGTCATAATGTCTGACTGACACGTTTCGCACTTTGGGAGGGTCTCATTCTTTTTTTGCAAGTTATTGCCGTCGATGGTAATTAGAATACGCAGACCGATCATGTTGTAGATTTATTATGGCATATGCGAACACCATGGACAGTGGAAACCGTGGATTGTCAAAAAGGCTGCTGTGAAAACTTTGGTGACAAAAACAAGAGGGAAGTTGTGTAACTTTTTACTGTAGTTTTATTGCCAAATTGGTTAGCGCTGCTGTCCCACTCACAGCAACAGGGTCGTGGTCGGACCTTGAATTTGCTCTATGTTGAGTTCAGATGTACTTAAAGATACAAACCGCTTACTTTTCCCTTGTTGCCTTATTGCGGTAACTAAAGTGACAGTTTGTAACAAAATGTTTCAATCATCACAGTTTTATTTTTTTTCATTTTTTATACAACTCATTAAACAAAAAGTTCTTGCCTAACTCGTCATTTCATAATTAACACATTGTTTTGTCCAACAGAAAGTGTCTTGTTAAAGAAATATATCAGACCACAATATGCTGTTTTCACCTTAGTTCAGGGGTGTCCAAACTAAGGCCCACGGGCCAATTGCGGCCTGCCGTGACAATTTATGTATTAAGGTAGAGGGCCTTGTGAACCCATCGTGATCTTAAACAAGTTCACAATGCCATCCAGCCAATTTCAGTTTCACAAATATAGTGCTAGATCTCCTAAAGCTCAGAACCACTACAAGTCTTTCATTGACTTTATTGGTATGACTGAAATGTGTCGCACTATTAGGTCTTTGGCTTTAATGTAGTGAGAAATAATAACAACAAGATATCCAGCCAACTTCAGCTCAGTCAAATGTGAACAATATGAACATGATCTCAAATGTTACCTCTTACAAAAGAGGCCTAGGTAGAAAACATGTTATATTATGCATACCTGTAAGAAGACCCCAGAGAGTCACTATTTGATGGTTTGGGCTGAGACCTGATTGGATGAGTTCATGAAGATTGCACTTTGTAAAAAAAAAAAAAAAGTTTTTAGCACAAAAATACACATGTGAAAACCATTACTGGAACCTAATCGTTTTGGTGCCAGGGACACTGTAAAATTATTTTATTACACATTTCCACTTTTATCGTTGGAAATGGAATAAGGTACCCCAGATTTTAGTCAATTGTGTTATTAAAACTGCTTTGTCAAATCAATTAGATGCATACGCACAAAAGGAAACACATGTAACGTTTGTGTACAGCCAGCATAAACAATTTCATTTTTACCAAGATATTTCGTACATTTGTATTTTATTCTTCTGTGTCTCATGTTTATATATCTCAGAATCCTCCAGTGCTCCCTGACTTGACTGTGTGTGTGTTTTCTGGCCTGTTTGACAGTGACAGGCCGAGAGCAACTCTGATCTCTTCCTGCTGTTCTCGTGGCAGTGCTGTTGACTCTTGTGTTTACACCTCACATAAACATTTTGTCTGCTGCTAATTACTCCACTTTGTCAGAAACTGTTGATGGTATTTTACTGTGAAACTTCATAAGTTAATGTCATCATCTTTGAGTGGAGAAATTATTATTATTAGTTACCTTCATTACACCAGGAAAATCACATACAGTAATATTGAAGTGCTTGTCAATATTAAGGAGTTCGGACCAAGAGGCAGGAA